CTTCGGTGATGCGCAGGTCGTTGCCCGGGGCGGTGCCGGTGGACAGGGCAAAGCGGAGGGCGTCGGTGCCGTAGCGGTCGATGAGTTCCAGGGGGTCCATGGTATTGCCCCGGGTCTTGCTCATCTTGTCGCCGTTGGCGTCGCGAATCAGGCCGTGGAGGTACACGGTGCGGAAGGGAATATCTCCGGTATTCTCGATGCCCATCATGATCATGCGGGCCACCCAGAAGAAGAGGATGTCGTACCCCGTTTCCATGACGGCCGTGGGATAGAAGTAGTTAAAGTCCTCGGTATTGTCGGGCCAGCCCAGGGTGGAATGGGGCCAGAGGCCGGAACTGAACCAGGTGTCCAGCACGTCCTCATCCTGTCGCAGTCCCTCGGAGTTGCAGGTGGGGCAGGCGTTGGGGTCGTCCACCGAAGCGATGATTTCGTTGCATTCGTCGCAGTACCAGACGGGTATGCGGTGGCCCCACCAAAGCTGCCGGCTGATGCACCAGTCGCGGATGTTCTCCAGCCAGTTGAGGTAGACCCGCCCGAAGCGGTCGGGGACGATGCTGATGTCGCCGTTTGCCACGGCGGCGTGGGCGCGGCCGGCGATGCTGTCGGGGTCCCGGTGGCTGCCCACATTCAGGAACCACTGCAGGCTGATCAGGGGTTCGACCACCGAGTCGCAGCGCTGGCAATGGCCCACCGAGTGGCGGTAGTCCTCCACCTTTTCCAGAAGGCCCAGGCCGTCCAGTTCCTCGGCCACGGCGCGGCGGGTGTCGAACCGCTCCATGCCCTCGTACTTGCCGGCCAGGTCAGTCATGTTGCCGTCAAAGCCGATGACGTTGATGATTTCCAGCCCGTGGCGCTCGCCGATCTCGAAGTCGGTTACATCGTGGCCGGGGGTTACCTTCAGGGCGCCGGTGCCGAACTCCTGCTCAATTGCCTCGTCGCCAACGATGGGGATGGACCGGTCCATGATAGGCAGCATGGCCTGCTGGCCGACGTGGGCGGCGTAGCGGGGGTCCTCGGGGTGCACCGCCACGCCGGTATCACCCAGCATGGACTCGGGGCGGGTGGTGGCGACGGTAATGTGGCCGCTGCCGTCAGCCAGGGGGTAGCGGATGTAGTAAAGCTTGCCGTCCTGTTCCTGGTATTCCACTTCCAGGTCGGACAGGGCGGTGGCGCAGCGGGGGCACCAGTTAATGATGCGCTCGTGGCGGTAGATCAGGCCCTTTTTGTACAGGTTGACAAAGGTGGTGCGCACCGCTTTGGCAGGACCGGGGTCCAGGGTGAAACGGAGGCGGGACCAGTCGCAGGAGGTGCCCAGGCGCTTGTGCTGCTCGTCGATGGTGTTGCCGTAGCGGGCGACCCACTCCCATACCCGTTCCTGAAATTTCTCGCGGCCCAGTTCGTGGCGGTTGGTGCCCTCCTCCGCCAGCAGTCGCTCAACTACCCACTGGGTTGCAATGCCGGCGTGGTCCTTTCCGGGGAGCCACAGGGTATCGTAGCCGCACATCCGGCGCCAGCGGGTCAGGGCGTCCTCGATGGAAGCGGTGAGGGCGTGGCCCAGGTGCAGTTCGCCGGTGACGTTGGGGGGCGGCATGATGATGACAAAGGGCTGGCGGCCCGGGCGTATTTCAGGTGTAAAGTAGCCGTTGTCGAGCCACTGCTGGTAGGTACGCTGCTCCACGGAGGCAGGGTCATAGGCCCGGGGTATGTCGGCGGGGGCGCTGGAGGTCATAAAAACTCTCCCTGGTACAGCTGATTGCAAATGGGGTTAATTGAATCCGTTACGGCTTGGCCCTGATTCGTAATGTGGTAACGAAAATATACCATTGCGGCGGGGGGGCGTCTATTGGGGGAAATGTCCACAATGTTAAACTATGGTCAGAAATTCAGGCGCTCCAGGAATCAACCACAATAGCTGGCCAAGGGGTTAGGAGCGGAGATTATGTACCGCAGCTTCAGCATCAAGAACTTCCGGTGCTTTGACGAGTTGACCGTGGAAGGCATTGGCCGAATAAACCTGATTGCCGGCAAAAACAACGTGGGAAAGACGGCGCTGCTGGAGGCGTTGTGGGTACACCACGGGGCAGTGAACCCTGAGTTATGTGCTCGTGTGGGAGCATTCAGAGGCATTGATACAGGCGACATAGACACTTTCATGGGAGATTTGTTCCGAGGGTTTGACCGTTCCTCAGTGATAGAACTGTCTTCAAAGGGAAATTGGGGGTCTAGCGAGCGCAGGCTAAAGATTACTCTTAAAGACAGGCCAACGTTTCAAGTTCCCTTGCCCGCTACTGGTCAGGAACAACTTGGCTTGCGACAAAGTTCTTCGGTGGTTGGCCAATATAGCAATCAGTTAGCATTTGAATACCTTCACGATTCAGGAGAGCAATTGGCTTCTAGCGGCTGGCTAGTCGAACGTGTCGTCGGACCGGGGGTATCTGCCCTTGGAATGGAGAAGACTCAGCAACTTCGCCCCCATCACGAAAACAGCATTTTTCTAGCCGCCAGAAATACCATGAGTAGCTCTGAGGACGCTGCGCGGTACAGTCAGTTGGAAATCAATGGTCAACAAGAAGGCGTTCTGGAAATCTTGCAAAGCATTGAACCGCAACTGTCCAGGCTGGCGGTAATTTCCGCCAGACAAGCTCCAAGCATCTATGCCGATGTTGGGATGGGAAGACTAATCCCTATTCAACTTCTGGGCGATGGCATGTCTCGGATACTTTCATTGTCATTGGCCATAGCCACCTGCCCAGGCGGGATGACGCTGGTGGACGAGATAGAAAACGGCATCCACCACTCGGTAATGGAAAGAGTTTGGAAGGCCGTCGGCATATTTGCCCGCAGCTATGACGTGCAGTTGTTTGCCACTACCCACAGCTACGAGTGCATTGGGGCGGCGCACCGGGCCTTTGAATCAGAAGAAGAGGATGAACTGCGGCTGTTCCGCATTGAGCGAAACGGGGAAGGCAAGTACAGGTCGGTGAAGTTTGACAAGGAACGTATTGGGGCCGCGTACAAGTTCAATATGGACGTAATCTAATGGTGCAGTGGGGCCAATCACGGGAAATGCCTACCGTCCAGAGCAGCAGGCAATTACTTGTTGAAGGACGAGAGGAGGTACTTTTCTTCAGCGCCTTTTTAAGACGACTCCAAGCTGGTGACATACAGGTCAGGGATTACGAAGGAAAGGACAATCTGCGCAGTTACCTGCTGGCCTTAACAGGCCTCGTTGACTTTCCACAAGTCCAATCCATTGGCATAGTAAGGGACGCTGACGAAAGTGCCCGTTCTGCCATGCAAAGCGTCCAGAACAACTTACGGAACTCTGGACTGCCTGTGCCGAGTCGGTCTATGACTCCTGAGGATGGACCTCCCAAAATTTCCGTCTTCATAATGCCCGACAATGCCAGCAGCGGCGCCCTAGAGAAGTTGTGCCTTTCCGCCCTGGTCGACGAACCGGCCATGTCCTGTGTTGAAGAATTCCTGCAGTGTGTCAAAGACAGGACAGGGAGTGGCCCCAAGGACGGTGACAAAGCCCGCATCCATGCTTTTTTGGCGTCGCGGCAAGACCCGGAATTGCGGTTAGGAGAAGCTGCTCAACGTGGATACATTCCCTGGAACCGCCCAGCATTCGCCGACTTGACCCAGTTCCTCAGAAACCTCTAGCCGCTTTCCTCCGACCCATGCTCATCAGCCCCCTCCCCTTGCGCCATCCCCTCTTCCGCGGCCCTTTGCTGCCTCGCGGCCCAGTTCTGGACCCAGCGGCGGTATTCGTCCAGGGCCGGCGGGGCTATGTAGAAGACCTCTATGTCGGTGGGGAACTGGACCTGGTGGCGTTCGTTGATTAGCAGCAGGCCCGTTTCGTCGGGCTGGAGGGTCTGGTCGATTTGCTGAGCGATGTGCTCGTAGCGGTTGTGGGTGCTGTTGGCCAGCCATTCCTGCAATTGGGTCGCAACCACTTCGCTGGCAAGGGGGATCATAAGGCAGCGTTGCAAGTCCATGGTTTCCAGCAACAGGTCGATGCTCTCGGTGGCCTCCAGGGTGGCCCCGGCCTGGCACTGTAGCTGGATCATCGCGTGGGCTTGGCGGTCGGCCATTTGCAGGTAGGACAGCCCCTCCTCACCGCCTTCCACCAGGCTTTCGTGGTAGATGCGGTGCAGTCCACCCAAACCGGCGGCGAGCGCGTCAATCTGGGTACGGACCTGTTCCGAGTACCTTTGGTAGATGGCCTGGCCCTCGGACTCTTCCCCTTCCGGGTCCGCCGGAGGGGCGAACATTAAGGGCACCAACAACAGGCGGCGCTTGCCCCGGAACTGATCAGCCGGAGGTCTTTCCACCCGACCCAGTTCCTGGGGGGCTGGCTGGTTTTCCGCGTCCTGAGTCGAACCCTCACCGTTTTCGGCAGGTTGTGCTTCGGGAGTCTGTTCCGCGTCCTCGGCTACCATAGTCTCTACATCCCAAATGCCTTCTTATAGCTTAGGCTGATGCGCCGCTTTTCCGGGTCGATGTCCAGAATCATCACCCGTACCTGCTGGTTGACGTACACGCACTCGCTGGGGTTCTTGACCTGTCGGGGGGAGAGTTCGGAGATATGAACCAGACCCTCGACCCAGTCTTCCAGCCGGACAAAGGCGCCGAAGTCAGCCAGGCGAGTTACCGTGCCGTCTACAATCTCGCCCACGTTGTAGCGTTCGGGCACACTCTCCCAGGGTTCGGGCAAGGTGCGCTTCAAACTCAGGCTGATGCGCTTGCTTTCCGGGTCCACTTTCAAGACCTGGACTTCCAACTCCTGTCCCACGCTTACGACTTCTTCCGGCCCTTTTACGCGAGCCCAGGACAGCTCGGAGATATGCACCAACCCCTCGGCCTTGCCAAGGTTCACGAAGGCGCCAAAGCCGCGGATGGAGGTAACCTTGCCGGTGACGCGGCTGCCCTCTTCCAGTTCGGCTATGAACTGGTCCCGTACTTCGTCCTGCAGCTTCTGCCAGATGGCGCGTTCGGAGAGGACCAGCCGTTCCCTGCCCTGGTCCACTTCAAGTATGTGGAAGGGGTATTCCTGCCCCATGCGCTCGGAAATGGCCTGCTCACGGGATTCGCTGGGCACCGGAGCCAACTGGGAAAAGGGCACAAAGCCCCTTATGCCCATGAAGTTGACCACGACGCCGCCCCGGTTCTGGTCCATCATCCGGGCAGTTATCGTGGTTCCGTCTTTGGAATGCGTCAACAGTTCCACCCAGCCCTGTTCCTCCTTGGCCTGGTCGAGAGACAGGAGGGCCATATCGCCGGGGCCCCGGCCGCCCTTCACCGTTACCATTACAGTATCCCCGGGATGCAACTGTTCTTTATCCTCTTGATCCAAAGTCCTCATCTCATGGGGAGGGACAATGCCCTCGGTCTTGAGGCCGATGCTGACTACGATGCCGTCGTCATCCACCCGCACCACTTCACCCGCTACGACTTCGCCGCGTTGGTATCTCCGAGGGGATAAGTCCTGCTCAGAGAAATCTGCCATAGTCAAGATGTTATCGTTTTCGCTGCTTACCATATCGCTGCTTACCATTCTGGGGTTTACTCCTGCCGCAGTTGGAAGGGGACTTTGCGCTTAACCCAGGGTCACCCCGTTCGTTAAATTTTTCCGATCTAAATCCAACTGGGCCCAGCAGATTTTAGACGGGAAGGGCAGGGTTTTCAATACGTTGGGGGAGAGAGATGGTGGGAATATCAGGAACCTCTACCGTCGAGGGACTGGCAAGGGAGCATAAAAGGTGATTGACCGTCGCCGTGACCGTGCCTGGAAGACTGAACCAGGCGGTTTTACTCCTGAGGAATGGCGCCCGCCAACCTGCCTGTCCCTTGGGCAGCCAAGTCTGGTGTAGTCGTACTCTTGAGGAATACCGAATGACAAGGTCGGAATCCCGAACCACACTAAGACCCGCCTAAACCCCCACTTCCTCGGCCAATAATGGCCCGGGGACCTGTTCCAGGTGGTTCAGGTAGCGCATGCCCTTGCGGGTGTCGCTGGCGACCCGTGCGGGGTCCCAGAGGTTGAATCGGAGCTTGGAGAGCCAGTAGGTGAATTCCTTGCAGTCGGCCAGGGACAGGGGTTCGTGACTGGCAATTTTCGCCTCTTTGCGAAATTCCTTCAACAGTTGGGCGCGGGGCTTGGCGTAGAGGTGAGTAAAGGCCTCCTCCACCATGTCCTCGTGGTCGGGGTAGCAACGGGCCTTCTCCCGCTTGCGCACATCGTCCTCCACCGCCTGCTGCAGGGCTTCCTCCACCACCACGCCGTACCAGTAATTGAGGTAGGCCCGGTGCTTGTTGCCACCCATCCAGTTTTTGAATTCCTCGGGGGTAACGTCTTCCGGAAGGCCCCCCTCAAACAATAGTCGCTCCAGGTCGACGGGAGGGATAAAGTCTTCAATTTCAGGGCAGAGACGTTCCGCCAGGGTTAGCCAGTCAAGGGCTTCACCGGCAACCAGGTAGCGGTAGGTACGGTCCTGGTAAACCTCCTGGGGAGCAGTCCAAAGCCCAACGGCCTCCAGCAGGGAGCGCGTCCAAGGCGCCCCGGAGCGTACCGCCAATCGAAGGTGGATAACAGCCTCGGGGGCAGTTTCTACCAGTAAGCCGGTGGTTCCTTCAAAGATGAAAGAGCCATTGTCTGCACCTTCGGCATAACCGCTGCTTTCTCCAGGTGGGGCGTTTCCGGGTACGCTGCTATGCCGAGGGTCTTGAGTCATGGCGCTGCCGGCGGGTTGGAAAAGCTGGTGGAGGTTGTAACGGTTGCGGCGGAGTCGGTACGGGACTCGAAGATCTCCAGCCGATGCGGCTTGGGGGTGCGGATGTAAGCAAGAAACTGGTCCAGGGGCAAGGTGTTCAGAATGTGGCGGGACTCGCACCAGGCGCGTCGGGCAATGGCCACTCCGAAGCGCCGCTGGCCCAGGCTGGTGAAATGGTGGGAATCGGTGTTGATGGCCAGCGGGACGCCCAGTTCCCGGGCGCGGTGGGCGTGGGTGTCTTTCAAGTCCATACGTTCGGGCGCAGAGTTAACCTCCATGGCCGTACCCGTTTCCCTGGCGGCCCGCAGCAGGGCCTCGATGTCGAACTGAACGGGCTGACGACGACTCAACAGGCGAGTGGAGGCGTGGCCAATTATGGTCACCGAGGGATGCTCCATGGCCCGGATGATACGCTGGGTCATGGTGTCGCTGTCCTGGCCCATAGCCGAATGCACCGATGCCACCACCACGTCCAGCTCGGCCAACAGCTCGTCGGGGTAGTCCAGGGTGCCGTCGGCGCGGATGTCCACTTCGGAGCCACAGAGAATGGTGATGGGGTATTGGGACTGAAGGTCCCGAAGGATGCCCATCTGCTCCACCAACCGCTCGTTGGAGAGGCCGTTGGCAATGCCCCGGCCGGAAGAGTGGTCGGTCAGGGCCATGTACTGATAGCCCTGCTCTACCGCCGCTTCGATCATTCGCTCAATGGGGTCTCGGCCGTCGCTCCATTCACTGTGCAGGTGGAGGTCGCCCTTCAAGTCGGCCTCGGTTACCAGGTTGGGGAGGGCGCCGGCCTGGGCCGCGTCCAGTTCGTTCAGTCCAATCCGCAACTCCGGGGCAATGTAGGGCAGGCCCAGGTATTCGTAAAACGAGCCTTCATCGGGCAAGCGCGCCACATCGCCTGAGGCCAGGTTGGTAATGCCGTACTCGTTCAGGGAAAAGCCCCTGCGGTTGGCATATTCGCGAAGGCGGATATTGTGCTGCTGGCTGCCGGAGAAATACTGGAGCATGGCGCCGAATGCGTCGGCGTCACCCAGGCGCAGGTCCACCTGGATACCCTCCTCCAGCACGACGCTGGTCTTCCTGGGGCCATGGACCAGCACCTCCTGCACCGAAGGCAACTCAACCAGGACATCGCCAACGCCGGACTGCAGGTCCTCGGGAGCCACACCGACCAGGTCAATGTCGCCGATGGTCTCCTCCCAGCGACGCAGGCTTCCGGCGGGATAAAGCTGCTCGACGTAGGGACATTCAGCACGCAGGGCGGAAACGGTTGCTTCGGCCACAGCCAGTGCCTGACCGATGGGCGTTCGGCCATCCTTGGTGCGCATGGACTGGATGTGGCGGAGGATGTTGTCCGCAGTGCGCTGTCCCATGCGGGGCAGGGCCGCCAGGGTGCCTTCGTGGATGGCCTTTTCGATGCCTTCGACAGTGCTGATGCCCAGTTCCTGGGTTATCAGCATGGCCGTCTTGGAGCCGATGCCGGGGATGGTCATCAACGTAAGAACACCGTCGGGCAACTCGCCAATCAGTTCTTCATAAGCCCTGACCCGCCCGGTTTCCAGGTACTCCTGGGTCTTTTCGCTGATAGCCTTACCAATGCCGGGTATATTCTTCAGGTCCACGTCGTCCCTGATTGCCTGTTCCAGGGAGAAGGAAAGGTGGCTGATGGTACGGGCGGCACGCTGGTAGGCACGAATCTTGAACACGGTATCGCCCTTCATTTCCAGAAGGGTCGCCATACTCTCGAAGAGTTCCGCTATTTCTTCGTTGGTTACAGGCATGGGGCACTCGGTTGATGACGTCTTTAGGAATAGTTTATCACACGGGTGTCTAATTGGCGGGGGGCCGGAAACTATCGACCCAGTTCTGAAAATAGACAGGGCGGGTATGATACCCGCCCATTTTCAGTAAATTGCTGTCTTTATTGGGCACACCCCTCACCCGCTGCCGGCGCGGCCGCCGTAGAGTTCCAGCACCAGACGGCTCATCAGGGAAGAGAGAAAGCCTACGCCGCTAATGGTGTCGGCGTAGCTCATGCGGGTGGGGCCAATGACGCAGATAGTGCCGCTGGCCTGCTGGGGTATCCCGTACTGGCACAGGATGACGCCAAAGGGGCGCAGGTGCTCGTCCGAGTTTTCCCCGCCGATGAATACGGCGATATCCCCCGTATCGGGCTGCTCCGACAAGACGCTGCCCAGCAGAACCTGTTCCTCCAGCAGTTCCACCAGTTCCCGGGCCTGGCTGCCCTGGGACATCTCCGGCTGGTTGAGCAACCAGCGCAGGCCGTCAACGTAGTGTTCGGGTATGGAGTAAGTTTCAGCCTCCTGCAGCAGGGACAGGGCGCTCTGCCTGACCCGCTCTTCCAGGGGGCCAAGTTCGCCTTGGGAAGCCGCTATCTCGGCGCGATTATGGCCACTGAAGCGGTCGTTAAGGAAGTTGGCTACCTGGGTCAGCGAGTCCTGATCGGTGGGTTCTTCCAGGGGCAGCAGGCGCCGAAGCAGGCGGGCCTCCTGGAGGACTATTATCAACAGGGCGGTGGCCTCATCCAGGTAAACCAGCTGGATGTGCTTGAGCCGAGACGAGCGGGACTGCGGCACCGTGACAATTGCCATGTTGGTGGCGATGCGCGACAGAATGAGAGCGCAGCGGCGGCTCAGTTCGGCAAGATCGGCATCGGCATGGTCAAAGTGCTGGTGAATTTGCTGCTGCACACTGTCGGGCAGTGGCGGCACCTCTTCCAGGGCTTCCACGTAGTAACGGTATCCCCGGTCTGACGGGACCGCGCCGGCAGACACATGGGGCCTGGAGATATAGCCCTCCTCGGTAAGAAGGGACATGGCGTTACGGACCGTGGCCGGACTCACCTTGGTAGGTGAAAGCCGGGCAATCTCTTCCGACGCCACAGGGTTGGCGGTGCTAATGTATTCGTTAACCAGGATATTTAATACGCTGCCAGCGCGATGGGTAAGCATTGCATTCCCCAAGAAGCCAACTGAGTATTACTCTAATATACGCTTTCGAATGGGTGTCGGGATTCAGGGGTTACCAACCAAACGGTCTACATTGCAGCGACCTTCAATGCGACGTTAGCACGGGCCTAAATTTGCTGTCAAGCGTTGACCCGTTTGCCGTAGCAATTTATACTTGCCGTTGGCTTTGACAGGATTGAAATAACAACGATGGCAAAAGGAAAGAGTGTCGCCGCACTGATAGTGGTGGGCGCGATTTTTGCGGTTGCTCTTGTTGCAGCCGTGGCGGTGTACATGCAACCGACCGCATCCGGCGTGGCAATGCCAAACCCGGCAACCTACAGTTACCCAGCAGGGCCCGGCAGCGAACAGGCAGACCTGCAAGTTACCCAGGGCTCGGCGCCGGTCAGGGCAATGTCAGCTACGGCAGGCAATGTGGCACAGCCCGAGCAGGAAACTACAGCAACCAGGGAAGTCCTTTCCAACCAGCCAACGTTAACGCCGGTAGCCGAGGCAGTAGCGCCATTGGGAGACAAGTTTGTCAGAGCTTTCCACTTTGTCGGCGCTACCAAGAGTTGGGTCTACTACGACCCCGAAGTTCCCGAAGAAGGCTCGCTGAAGGCCATGGTTTCCGGCCAGACCTATTTGATTCTGGTGAGTGAATCCATTACCGTAGAAACTTACGGGCAGCGTCTGGAACTGGTCTGCAGCAACGACGATTGCTGGAACACGGTAGTCTGGCCCTGACTCTTGGCCGGACTTGATGCAGCAGGTAATAGCCCAATTTCTGGTGTTAGGTAAAGCCATTGAACGCAAATGCACAACAACCATGGCCGGTGCTGGCCGACGCCGTTCTACCCGTCAGCGACCGGACGAAGCGACTGGCACGGGACGCAGCGCTGGTAATTGCAGGCTGCCTGTTTACGGCCCTGCTGGCCCAGGTGAAAATACCCTTGGGATTCACCCCTGTTCCCATTACCGGCCAGACCTTCGCCGTGCTGCTGGTGGGCGCCACCCTGGGCAGCCGGCGCGGAGCCGGCGCCATGGTCCTGTACCTGGTGGCCGGCAGTGTGCTGCCTTTTTATGCCGGAGGCGTCTCGGGACTGGTTTGGGGACTGTCGTCCGGCGGTTACATCATTGGATTCATTCCAGCTGCCTTTGTGGTGGGCTGGCTCGCGGAAAAAGGCTGGGACCGCAAGCCGTGGATTCTGCTGGCCATGCTGGCAGGCAACGTCTTGCTGTATGTTCCCGGCCTGATTCAGTTGTCCCTTTTCGTACAGGGGATAGACCCCTCGGTGGCAGATGACCAGATACTGTCGACTACCCTCAAGTGGGGGCTGTATCCCTTTATTCTCGGAGATTTGATCAAGCTGGTGGCAGCATCCCTGTTGCTGCCAGGCGCATGGGAGTTGGTGAATTTGGTGAGGGGGCGCAATAAATAGCTATGGAAATTATCTGGATGGGCCATGCCTGCTTTCGACTTCGTTCCGAAGACCTGGTGGTTGTAACAGATCCCTACCCCGGTTCCGTCGGTCTCCGTCCGGACAGCCGCACTGCCACCGTAGTTACGGTCAGCAACTCTCACCCCAACCACAACAACCGGCTGGAGGTGGGCGGTTCACCCACGATATTCGACTCTCCCGGCGAGTATGAGTACTCGGGCATTGCCGCCCGGGGAGTGATGACCACCCTGAAGGAAGGTCAGGACCAGCGGGAACGAAACGTGGCCTATACCATAATGATGGACAACGTCAATGTGTGCCACCTGGGGGACATCGCCACGCCCCTGACCACGCACCAGGTGGAGGAGTTGCAACCGGTAGATATACTGCTGGCTCCGGCCGGCGGCGGCTGCACCCTGGACCTGGAGCGTATTCTGCAACTGATGCAGGACCTGGACCCCAAAATTGTAATTCCCATGCACTACCAGATTCCCGGGTCCACGGAACCCCTGGGCAACCTGGACGCTTTTCTGCAATTGATGGGCGGCAGCGACGTGCAGCCACGGCGCAGCCTGACGGTTACCACGAGCAGCCTGCCTCCCAATATGCAGGTTACCGTCCTGGAACCTCGGGCACGGGCCAATTAGCCGGATCAAGTTAACGGGATTACAACCAGCGCCGCCGTCTTTCTCATTTTAGCCGAGAGACGGCATTTTCCTTGGCGCAGAGGAAGAGTCGGAAGCTAGCGGGCCCGGACTCTCACCGTGTTACCAGACAACCTGGTTCCAGCAATTGCCCTGATGGCAAGTCAATTGCCGTGTCTCGCCGTTAAGGATCGCCTCCACCGTCTCACTAACCAGAACCAGATAGGTTTCTCCGGCCACCATGTAGTCCTGGTCACTCTCATCCGGGAACAGCGGGTCGTAAAAGCTCCACGACTTGGCGTCGTTGTCGAAGTGGAAGGAACGAACAAAGCTGTCGCCCAGACTTTCCAATGCTTCGGCCACCGGCGTCGGGTTCCCGGCAACCACCCCCGACAGGGTTATATCGAAGGGACTGCTGGCCGTTACCCCCGCCACGGTAACCTCGACCGTCTGACGTCCCACGCCAATGCCGGGGGCCAGAAACGTGAAGGAGAATTCCCCGTGGGCGTCCGCGGTTGCCGACTGCCCCGGGGCAACGTCAATCTGGCCGATGGTGGCTGATGTTACCCGCACAAAGGGCCGGAAATCGGTGCCGGTAAGGGTCACTTGCGTACCTGGCGGGCCGGCTATGGGACTCAACTGCACCGTGGCGCCGGGCACCTCGTGCCGAGCCGTCGTAATGACCTCGATACCGTCTTCATCCTCGAAAACAACCCGAACGGCATTGGAAGAAGGAGCGGGGGTCTTCAGGGGAAGTCTTATCTCCTTGGAGAAGTTGCCGTTAATGTACGTTTCCGCAGAGGCCACGGAGTAACCCTCGGAGAACTCGTAGTAGATCTGCAAATTGACATTGGAAACGCTGTCGTTGCGAACGGGGAACCCCGTGCCAGAGACTGTGACGATAGATCCGGGGCGGCCCCAAATGGGGCTGACGGTTACTTCGCGCGGGGGAATGGTGACATTCACCGACCCGCCACGCCCGCTCAGATCAGTGACGCGCAAGATGTGGATTCCAGGCACAGTGGTGGCGCGGTTTATGGGCAGGTCGACCGGCCCGACCCAATAGCCGTCCGAGTTCGTAAGATTGGGCCCGTCGCCGCGGTTTATCCGATTCTGGTGCAGTACATGGCCGCCGATGCTGACCGAGGCTATCTCGCCGAGGTCGTCACGATGAGTGAAGCCAAGGCCCTCCACATTGATGCGCTGGTTGGGAAGCACCACGTCAGGAAAGACCCGTACTATCGCATCGGGCTCCACCCAGATGATTGTGCTGATCTCATGTAGCACGCTGTCACCGTCATCGTCTATGTGTTCGACCACCACCCGCAATGACTGATAGCCACGGCGGGCCATGCCGGGGAGATCAATATGGAAGTGCCTCGTTCCCGATTCGGGCACTCTCTTATCCCGAAGGTGGCCTAGGTCAATTGGAACGCCGCCTAAATCGGCAGATATCAATTCTCCCTCCGGAAAGTCCACGAGCTGAAGAAAAAGTCGCCGGTCCGCGCCCACTTCGGCAACTATTTCTCCAACCAGTTCCAGGACTTGGTCGAGGTGGTCGACTTTCTTGGCTACAACTACCCCCACGTCTTTCACCAGTACTTCGTCATCTTCCACCAGTATCGAGCTATGATTGCGCCCGTCTACGGCGTTGATGAAGTTGCAGTTTACTGCTCCAAGAGTCTCACCCAGTTCTAATCGACAATCACCGAAGGCGCTCTCAAAAGGCGGTTTGTTGACGGTGAAGGTGCAGTACCCTATGTCGTTGCCGTCAACTTGGGTATGGCACAACTCGGCCTCTCCAGAATCTCTTACACCGTCGAAGTTGGCATCCCGCCAAAATGTGAGGCTAGTACCATTCTTGTAGCCACGTCCTATTACCGTGACCTCATCGCCCCGTCCCACCTCTTCGTGGGTTAGTTGAATTTCCCAGTCCACCAGCAGGCCGTGAACGGGTTCTTCGTCTCCCGTCGGATGATTAGCAACCCGTTCTATGTGGGTGAATTCCATCCAGACGTAATCGTGGGGGTGGTGGCCCAGCACCGGGGCAGTAGACACGCCGTCGTGTACCGTGGCCACTGTCCAGGAATAGGCGCCGCCTTCGGTGGGGTTGGAAATGCCGGCGTCTTTGGTGAATGTGACGGTTACCGTGGCTCCGGAGGGGATGTCATCAGGTGCGTTATTCCTGATGATGGCAGGAGTTATGCTGATAGTCGTAGGCTTGCGGGGATCAGTGTGATCGGTTAGAGAGATATCACCTGCGGTACCGTTGCCTCTGTTTGTTCCGTTACCGTCGTCATGGCTGTACCGAATCTGCACACCGTTAGGAGCAATAGCCCTTGGCACCCCAATGTCTTCGTCCAGCACCATGACGATGCTGTCCGTGAGGAATTTTATTTCCCCAGGCGTGACAAGGGTTACTTCGTAGGCGGTATGGGCCGCAGGGCTGCGAGAGGATGACTTGACCGTTACGCAAGGGGGTGGACAGTCGCTTTCCTCCGCCTCAACTACCTCAGCTTCACCGAAGCCAGCCAAGAGGGCAATCACGAGTAAGGAAAGGGAAAGGATGGCTACACTGAAGCGAGCAATGCTGAGGAGCGGGCGCCCGAAAGCTGGAGGGTTAGACATTAGTCACGGAGAGATACGTGCTGAATATTGCGTGATAGTCTTTGGCGAGGAAACCACTGGCGGAACCTTGTCTACCTTCGAGGTGAGGTGTTGTAATGCCAGAATTCAGGTAGACGTCTGTAAATGCTTCTTCGGAAGTCCCACCGACCGGGAAATATTATCCTTCAGGAGACCGCATCAAATTATACATCAGCAATTTCCTATAAATCTTCAAGATAATATTTTCCTCACCATTCTTGCACATCGCTTCTGACACGGTTCACTAAAGAAGTCAGGAGGGGCGTGAATTGTGAAGACCACGCGCATTTGCTCCTTAGCTCCTTCGGTTCAAGCCGACTGGCCCTTTCCCAGAATGTTCCGGCGCAGAGAATCCGGGCACAGCCATATTCTTGCAATTCAATGCGTTTGCTTGACATCCCCGAAATACCGTGAATATAATCAGTCTAGGCTACAGTCCCGAATCCCGCAGCCGTACCCCCCGGCTTGGGCCGTCTCCCTTACCCAACTCGGACAGCTTTTCCCCAGCCAGATTCGTACGCCTCCCTACTGTTTATTATGGCTTGAGGCATGACCACCAAGTATATTTTCGTTACCGGTGGAGTGGTAAGTTCTATCGGCAAAGGCATCTGCGTTGCCTCTATCGGCCGCATCCTTAAGAGCCGAGGGCTATCCGTCTCCGTAGTTAAGCTGGACCCCTACCTGAATGTCGACCCCGGAACCATGTCTCCCTACCAGCACGGCGAGGTTTTCGTAACCAAGGACGGGGGAGAGACGGACCTGGACCTGGGCCATTACGAGCGGTTCATCGACGTAGATCTGACCCGTTCCTCCAACCTCACGGCCGGCCAGGTTTACATGACCCTGATCGCCAGGGAAAGACGGGGGGACTTCCTGGGTGGCACCATACAGACGGTGCCCCACGTTACCAACGAAATCAAGGCCCACCTCACTGACCTGGCAGGAGAGTCCGACGTGGACGTTGTGGTGGTGGAGGTTGGAGGCACCGTAGGCGATATAGAGGGATTGCCCTTCCTGGAAGCAATCCGCCAGATGCGCAAGGACGTGGGCCGCAACAACGTCTGCTACGTGCATCTGACCCTGCTGCCCTACATCACCGGCGCAGAGGAGTTGAAGACCAAGCCAACCCAGCACAGTGTCAAGGAATTGCGGAGTATTGGCATCCAGCCCGACGCCCTGATCTGCCGCAGCGACTTCCCCATATCAGACTCGATCAAGGAAAAACTTTCCCTGTTCTGCGACGTGGACGGAGAGGCAGTTGTACCCCTGGAAACGGTGGACAACGTTTACGAAGTACCGCTGATTCTGGAAAACGCCGGCCTGGGTGACTACATCGTTAGTCTCCTTAACCTGGGGGGACACCCCCGGGATTTGAGCGAATGGTCCAGGATGGTGGAGCGGATGCAGCAGCCCAAGGGAAGCCTGCCCATAGCCATCGTCGGCAAGTACGTGGAGTACCCCGATTCGTACCTTTCGGTCAGAGAGGCCCTGCGCCACGCCGGAACGGCCCACGACAAGGATGTGGAAATCAAGTGGGTGCATTCGGAAGATATTGAACGGGACGGGCCGGAAATTCATCTGGACGGTGTCAGCGGCATCGTGGTGCCCGGCGGTTTCGGCCAAAGAGGCGTCGAGGGAATGATTGACGCGGTGCATTACGCCCGCGAAACAAACCTGCCTTACCTCGGACTTTGCCTGGGCATGCAGGTTATGGTAATAGACTGGGCGAGGCACGTTTTGGGACTGGAGGGAGCCAATTCATCGGAACTGGACCCAGATACTCTCCATCCGGTCATACATATCATGCCAGATCAGGAAGCGGTGACCGACATGGGCGGCACCATGCGCCTGGGCGGATATCCCTGCCGCCCGCAGAAGAATACGTTGACCCTCTCCGCCTACCGTGACGAGGAAGTCGAAGAGCGGCACCGGCACCGGTTCGAGGTGAACAACCACTACCGGGAGAACCTGGAAAAGTCGGGGATGATCATGGGCGGCCTTTCCCCAGACGGCAAGCTGGTGGAAACGGCGGAGGTAGCGGGCCATCCCTTTATGGTAGGGGTGCAGTTTCATCCGGAATTCCGGTCCCGGCCCAATCGCCCCCACCCCCTGTTCTGTGAGTTTATCGCCCAGTCCGTGAAAACGATCGGGAAGGCGCTCAGCAGCCTCTTCCCCTTGACGCAAAGTAAGCGAGTTGCCGAGCAGCGCGTATCGGCAAACCGACCGGTTCAGCAAACAGCTTTTAAGTAAACGTCCGGCATTCCCCAAGCATCACCCAGGGGCGACAAGGGGCGACAACGCCAGGGGGCGACAAGGTACTACAAAGGGCACTACAAAGATAGAGGCAAAAGGGAACCGTGAAACCGTTTTTGGATACCGCCAACATTGATGAGATTCGCGAGGGCGCCGAGTTGGGCATCGTCACCGGCGTCACCACCAACCCGTCTCTGGCGGCAAAGGAAGGCATTGGCGGCAAAGAGGGCTACCGGGCGGCGGTCCAGGAAATCTCCGACATTATCGACGGTTCTATTTCAGTTGAAGTTGTTAGCATGGACGCCGAAGGAATGATTTCCGAGGGCCGG